CTTTTAATGAAATAAGGTGAAATAAAACTGTCTACACAACTGACACGGTGTTAAGACATTTAACAACAAAATTGAAGTGTCCACGACAAACATTAGGTTTTGGCAGCATTTCCTTAATTTGTTCCATTTTGACAATGCCGATTTCTTCAGCTAATAGAAAGACGAACTGAACCTTTCCTTTCTTCATAAAGTTAACTTCCACGCCATCATTATTTATGCTAATGACTACACCCACTTAATATAATGACTTGCTCTTTCCTGGAAACTCAACCAATGTAGTCGTCGACGTTAACACTTTCTACACATTGGAGGAAATCTTCCTCATCTACAATTTCATCATCGGATGATTTTTCATCCCACTCGCCTCCAGATGATGATGGCAATTCTTCTTCTAGTAAGATCTTCTTGTTTGATGGCTTTCGAAGCTTGAATGTCTTCTCCTGCTTTGCAATTTTGATTGCCCGTTTGGCGTTCTTAGCTTCTATATTTTCAGGCGTTGTAAAAAGTTGAGCATGCTGTTTCTTTTTCGTTACGACAGGAGCATCACATTTTGGTACTGGTAACGCAATTGGTAGACGTTTCGTAGGAGTTGCTTTTGTGGTTTTATGAGAATTTGGGTCATAGTATTAAGTGAGAGTGAACCAGATGTGCTGGGTTGAGGATCCAAGGCTGAGCTAACACTTTCGTCGTCCATAGAGTTGGACCCCAAGGTTTCTTGTAGGTCAGCGTAATTAGGAATAGAGGAGGGCGCGAATGGAAACACCCCGGAAGCCTGCTGAACCATTGTTGCAGCTTGTGACCAGGCTTTCTGTAGAAGTTGGCCGAAGTGCCTGCGTTCTATCTTGTTTCCAGGATTTGCATTTTCCCATTCGATAGCTGCATTTTGGTAATAGGCCTTCAACGGTTTGAGAAACGATCTGTCGAGATGCTGTAAGTAATGAGTCGTGTGGCTGGGAAAGCAAAGAAAGTGGACATCATTTTTTAGTGCTATCTCTAATATGTCCGGCGAGTTAGTGTGAAATCCGTGTTCGTCGAGCAGTAATAGGCATGTAGCTGCCTTCCTTGGAATAAAGTGGTATTCCAGCTAATTTTTAAAGAGGTCTTCATTTATGTAGGTTGATTTTCCGCCCATCGCCACTTCAGAACCGTTAGGTATATTATCGAGCCACACTTGTTGTTTGTATACACCTTTGAACAAGTTTGTATACAACAGGCAACAACTGTCACTGTCTCTCCTTGTTCTTTTAATTGCCGCACTTTAACTGCCTTGCTGCTTTTGGCCGCATGTTAAGTGATTCTGCCCTTAATCTAGATATGTTTTAATCTTAACGTTTAGAACGTCCAGATCAATGATCCACATTATGGTCTGCTGTCGCATATGGTATATTAGTTCTTTTTTTCTTCTTATTGACTTATTTAACGAGGTTGTCTAGAATAGGGGTACAAGTAGTCGACTTAAAATATTTTGCTTTTATTTAATTTTCTGCAATCCTTTTTAATGCTTTTAATCCTGTAAAAACTTTTGATTCTTTTTCATCGTTTCTTATTTACCTATTATCATTAAAAGATTAGCAATCCTACAATATCCTCTTTACTGTCTATCACACTCTTAGATAAAACGCCAATGGGTTTCTCAGCTTGAAAACTATCGAAATCTTTGCTATTAAACATGCATACAAACCATTTTTATACACATGTTTAGTGCAAAATCTCAAAATTGTGATATAGGATGTAGGCAACACAAGATTGATAAATTCTGGAGAATTCAATATAAAGAAAGAAATAATCTACCATTCGAAACACAGACACATAAATTCTGGGGAATTCAATATAAAGAAAGAAATAATCTACCATTCGAAACACAGACACATAACGCTTATATGAAGTCGCCATTATAGTTAACGAAAAGATAACATAATACGTAAAGGACTTTTCTCTGGATTCCGAAAGAATTATGTAACTGTAACCCAAGAGAAACAAAATTTAATACATATTTATGCACCTACTGCTGATAAATAAGAAGATATATACATTTTTTACAAAGAATTCGAAAAGACATTACACCTAAAAAATGAGCGAAGGTAAATGTGGGTTGATTCTAAGATCACACGGGCATAATGTTCGTATCTACAGAGGAGATCGTCTCATAGAATACTACCAAGAACGTAAGCTATTGGTAATCAAAAAGACTACTACTACTATTGGTAAACTAACTAAAGGCCTTCTGTATACATGCCAGTCACTAGATATTCCAACTTCAATTAAAGAAGACAAATACATCACAATACTGAAAAGAAAGAAGAAGGAGCATATATAGGAAACCAACTGAAAGAACTAGAGAAGTATAACACACAAATGGAAACGCAAGAATTATACAAGAAGGTTAACCAGAACAGAAAGAAATTTAAACCTAGATTATCAGTAGTTAGAAACAGAACAGGAAAGATCATTGGTGATCAGGACCATATACTAGAAAGATGGGCAGAATTTTTTTAGAAAATACTAAATGCCTGTAAGAAGTGAAATAAGGTTACAAGGAGCAGAAATCCAGCTCGAAGACATGGAAGACGAAAGAGAGAAAGGTAACATTCTAACAGAGGAAGAAGTCATCAAAGCAATATAAAAATTGAAAGAAAACAAAGCTCCTGGGGCAGATGGCATTCTTTCTGAGCTATTAAAACATGGCGTCGAAATCTGACCTGTTATATAAGTAGGCTAGTAAAACTGATTTGGAAGCAGGTAAAAGTAGCAGAAGATTGGAATATAGGTATAATTGTACCTATTCACAAGAAAACAGATTAAACTATTTGTGATGAAACATCTCCTTTGGAAGACCAGTTGATCCCGTTGCTAACTTATCATCGCTGAGTATTGCACGCCATTGTTTCTTCAGTGGTGCGAACACCGTGACATCCAGGGGTTGAGCGATATGCGTAGTATTCGGCGGTAAACGTATGAATCGAATATTATTTTCAACCGACAGTCTGATAATTTGCTCAGAAAAATGGCTCGCCAAGTTATCCCCGATTAATACTTTGACTCCTTCTTCATGTCTCGTGGAATAAAGGAAAATAGAAGTAAACCAATTTAAAAATGTTGCAGAATCGAACCATCCATGAGCTGTTCGGTTGTATCTGGTTTTATCGGGTCCTCCTTCCGTCCAAGTTGTCCAAAGGTTTTCTGCTTTGTAGACTACATACAGAGGCAGGAGAACTCCTGAAGCGCTTCCACAAAACATCAAAGAAATGTTTGATTTTGATTGAGATAATAAACGTTCTGGGTATTTCACGCCTCTTTTAAAAAAGCATCTTGCAGACTCAGGATCATCCGATAAACTTTGTCTCATCGAAATTGTATATACAATCGGGGGAAACTCCGTCTAGACATTGCTCAAGGCTATCAAAATAAGCAATGAAAACTTCTCTAGTGGAAGATGCTCTATTTGGGTTTATATTTTGAGATTTTCTTACACTTATTTCTCTGTTTCTTTTCAGAAAACCTTTAATCCAGTCGATACCAGGCAAATTATTTTTAAATTGCTTAACTCTCTTACCCATTGTATCCAAATGGCTTTTCATAACATGTCGTAAATCGTCGTGAGTCAAAGGAAAGCCCCATTCAGCGGTTTTCAAAAACATCTTGACTAGTGCCTTTCCTTCGTCGTTGTTAAAAACTGTGGGCCTTCCGACGTCCTTCATTTTTTTGTTGTTCAGTTTATGACTTAATGTTCCTTTTGGGATTTTGTATTTCTTCGACGCCTTGGAAAGTGATAACTGTTTTGTTTTAATTTCGCGGATTGCTTGATCCAAAGTATCAGAGGTGTAATTTTTGTATGATCGACTACCCAACTTTCTAACGTAATCACGCATTTTGGACTGAGATTATCGCACTACACTACCTATTGCACCACAACTGAATTTCCTAACCACACAATGTTCCTATCGCCAAGCCAACCAATGTTATACTGAGCTCTGAGCTGAGCGAATTTCATTCAAATGATTCAAAACAAGGTAGCGTAACGCCAGACAATAATATTTAGATGGAACTCGATTGACGCCGCCCAAGCACGTTCAATCCTGCCGTTCAATGTTACCCCACGTTCCCAAAATAATTGACATATTTTTTGTATAAATTAATTAAAAATATTCAAAACCCTAATCATTTACGGTATTATGTAGAATAAGGTTCAAATAGGTACTAGTATCGTGTAAAATTAGTCATGAGATCTTTTGCATATCGCCGGCTGTAGACCAAAGTTTGAGAGATTTTTTTTACTACCTTTTATTTCAGAAACCATTTTTTATTTCATTTTTGTTAATTTTGAGAACCTGCCAGAAATTTTATCAGGAAGTACAAGAAAAACATATTTGCAACCCTCAAAAAAATATATCGGCCCCAAAAAAAGTTTAGGCCAACTTGTAGAAAAATATAATCTTCATTGGAAAACTGTTCAATGTAACCCCGTTTTACGGTACTAATATGGTTATAAATTCGTATTATAATTAAAAAAAGAATATTGCATTACAAATTCAAGACGTTTAAAGTAATAAGAATTTATTTAGTCGATTCATAATGAAGTTTATTATAATGTTATCCTGTTCGAACGTATTACTGGTTGCATAATCAGATGATTTAACACCAACATTTATGCACGTTAAAATAATATTTTCTCATTTATAATTACTGAAAAATTTTAATCGAATGCCAGTAATAAATAAATAGAGATAATAAATCTTTTATTTACATAAATTTAATTCTTCTAAAATGTAAGAAAGTTTCATAATAAAATAATTATTTTATTATTTCAATGTTGTTAACCTGAAAAAACAATTGCCACCAAAAGTCAATCAATTTAAAATTATATTTACAAGTTAGAAGTAAACAATTTTAGTGGGTGTACAATTAAAATTGCAAAATTAAAAGTAATATTATAAGTTATAAGTAAACAAATTTAGTGGGTATAGAATTAAAATTGTAAAATTAAAAATTTATTGCAAAATATGGAAGCATCACTAGCAAAACCCGAGGAAAAACAAGTAGCTGCAAAAGATCCCATGGAAGTAAATTCTAGTGAAGTCGGTACTGAAGCAGAATCACTAGAGACTTTAGAATATGAGGAGGAAGAAGTATTTTTTCAAGATATTGATTTATTAGCAGAACACAGTATACTCGAGGATGATATAAAATCCATTAAGAATATGGGAATAACTACAATAAAAGGTTTGCAAATGACAATGAAAAAGAAATTATTAGAAATAAAAGGAATTACCGAGGAAAAAATTGATAAAATCAAGGAGGCATGTTGCAAGATATCTCTAAGCAATGTGTTTATGACTGCTTTGGAAGTTTCTGATCAAAGAAAGCAAATCTTTAAGCTTCATACTGGAAGTTCTGATCTGGAGTAAGTACTTTTTACCAATATCTATTATATTAAAAAAATGTATTAATAAATTGGATTTACTTATTGATATTTTATTTAAACAAGTGAATTTGATTGTGTTGTAACTTTCGTATGTAATTTTTAAAATATACAGGATGAGTTATAACTATATATTGGGATATTGACGAGACTTAGGTATTTAGATCAAAATTTGGCTATTGGACAAATATTACTTAGTAAAATATGCAAAAAGGTACAATATGTTTTTCGTTTTTTGCTAATAATGTCACTGTATATTATTAAATTCTTATTAAAATCGTTAAAAAGTGTTAGTAAAAAACTTTGTTAATTTATAGTTTTACATTTTCTTACCGGAGGCGTCATGTGGTTTATTGCTGATAAAATGGGATCGAAACTATTTTTCACGGTATAATTGAGTTAATTAATTTTGATTCTTTCAACATTATTTTTACGTAATAAGGGTACTCCTGTTTAAACACGGCAATATTAACCGTATTTGAGAAAAATGAATGGAAATAATTTAAACTCTGAGAAAGTAATTTCAAAATATTAATTCATTTATAGTAAGTTGGCTTTGGACTGTCAGATAATTGTTATCCGTAAATGCCATTTCTTTCTGTAGGGGCATGCACATTTAAGATGCTATAATTAAGAAATGTTCCCCTTAGTCTCAGGATGCACATTCTAGAGTTCATAGCATGAAAGTCTCTTACGAGGTGTTTAACCTTTTTATTTACAATGAAGCCAGTACCTAGTGCGTGGTCTTTAACGTCGCAACTATAGAATATAATGTGGTGTCTTTTTTTAATGGTGCCACGCCCGGTCCATCTCATTTCCTGCAGAGCTGTTATATCTTCTTCTTCTTCGTCTAGCCATTCACGTCCACATCTGAACATAAGCCTCTTCAAGTCTTCCTTTCCATTGTTTTTTATTGTACGCTACTTGTAGCCAATTTGGCTACAAGTAGCTACAAAAATTGGCTACAAGTAGCTGTTATATCTATGTCATATCTATTCAGTTCATCGAGCACCGTACTGTTTAGGGATCGGAAGTTCCATGTCACGATTCTTAAATCACGTACCTTTTTCTCGTGCAGTCGTCGTCGTTTGATCAGTCCGGTTTTCTTTCCTTGAACATTCGTAGCATGTGTGTTTTCTAGGATAGGGTTGTTAGCTCTATGCCTAACCCCCTTTTCGGAGAACCATTTATCCCTTCCTCGTCGTCCCTGACCCTACTTTCCACAGAGGTTGGTTACCCAATCTTTGGTAGGGTTGCTCAGGTTTGCCAGGGTCCACCCGTGTGATTAAGTCACACTTATTGGAGGTGAGGATAGGAATTGAGTAGGAGTGGCTAGAGGTGTTATCAGGAAGCAACACCTTATATTGCGCATCACTACTCCTTGGAACTCCAGGCAGAGGAAAAGAAAGACGATGTGAAGGAAAAATTCTATGAAGAACTAGAAGCTGCATACCATTCATACCGAAAGAATGACATCAAAATTATTTATGGGATCTCAACGCAAAAATAGGAAAAGAGCAACAATACTTACCAACTATAGGTAAGCACAGCCTTCATGAGGTATCCAATGACAATAGCATCAGACTAATAAATCTTCTTACTAACTTCCCTTAACATGGTCATTGCCAGCACGTGCTTCCAGCGAAAAAATATTCATAAGGGAACGTGGAGATCTCCAGATGGGCTTACAGTAAACATGATCGATCATGTTATTATTGACTCTAGACATCACTCAGATGTAATAAACGTATGCAGCAGAAGAGGAGCAAATGCAGACTCGGATCACTACCTAGTGGAAAGTAGAATAAGAGTTAGAATCTCAAACATTAAAAAGGAAAAGGGATCCAAAATTGAAAAATATGAAATAAAAAACTTAGCAGACAACAGCAAGAATGCAAAATACAAAGAATATATAAAAAAAAAGCTAGAAAATAGACACAAGCACGAGGATATAGACAGAGAATAGAATCATGTAAAAACATCATACAAGACGCGGCCAAAGAGACTCTGGGTCTACAAAAAAAGCCCACATCAACTGAAGGACAGTGGTTTGATGAAGAGTGTCATAATATAACAGGGAGGAAAAGTAATGTATATCAACGACTACAACAAGAACACGAAAGGCAGAGGAGGAATATATAATGCTAAGGAGGGAAGAGAAGAAAATACATCGCAGAAAGAAAAGAGAACACATAGAAAAAGAACTCCAAGAAATGGAAGAACTACTTAAATAAACCATCAGAAAATTCTACCAAAAACTTAACAAAAGTAGAAAAGAGTTTAAACCAAGAACAATGATGTATAGAGGCCGAGAAGGAGATATAGTAACTTCTATCTATCACTATCACCTTTTCTAGCTGATATTTTCTTAGATAGCTTAGAACAGAAGTTTGTTAATAACAACAACAAAATAGTTTTTTGGTCTAGATATGTTGATGATTGTATAGCTCTCATAAAGGGAACCCAAGATGATGCTTTACATATTCTGGATGATCTTAATAACCTCCATCCTAACATCTCTTTTACTCTGGAACCAGAATCTGACAATAAGTTGAACTTCTTGGATATGACTATTTCCCGTAAGAAAGATTCTTTAGAGTACAACATTTATAGAAAACCCACCCAAACAGATCACGTTATACATGGAACGTCTAATCACCCAACTCAACATAAAATGGCTGCTTTCAACAGTTACATTCATCGGTTACTTAAATTTCCTCTCTCTGATGATAATTTTAATACAGAACTTAATACTCTTAAGCAGATTGCTTTCAATAATGGCTATGATCCCAACATTATATACAAACTTCTAAATAGAGCTAAACTAAAAATTGCAGAAAAGCTTGCATATTCTTCACAGTTTTCCCAACCGAATGCTTCAGATAACATCAGATATTTCTCCTTCACTTATATTAGTAGCATTTCCAATAAAATATCTAAACTTTTTTCTTCTACAATTGATAACATCAAAATTTCCTTTAAATCACATAACACTTTAGGTTCCTTCTTAATCAATACCAAAGATAGGATGAATACACTTGATAAAAGTGGTATTTACAAATTAAAATGTGATGATTGTGATGCATCTTATGTAGGTAGAACCATCAGAAAGTTATCCACTAGAGTCTCTGAACATTTGAAAAGACCAAATTCTTCAAGTTTTGGTCAACACTTAGTATCCAGCAACCACAATTTTAACATCAATTCTGGTTCATCTATCTTACATGACATTAGCAGAAAGAAAAACTATCTTGAGTTGGATTTATTGGAAGATTTGGAGATTACAAGGGAAACAAATGAAAACTCTCACTGTCTTAATATTCAAATTAATTTAAATTGTACTAAATTTAATCCTATATTTAAAAACTTTATTACAGCTTCACCTCGTAGGGTCCACCTTGTGGATTCAACTGAACTACGTGGACTATAACACATTTATATATTTTGTCTTCAATTTTGATTTTAACTTTTAGTAATTTAACTGCATATTCAGATTTTTCTCTTTTACAGTACTGATAGCGCTTATCCACTGTCTAATATATTGTTAGTCTTTTCTCACATTCATACTTTATGTCAACTTCAATTGCTCTCAAACCAACATCCTAATTATTATAGACAGGTTTGAGTGTGAGATTGGGATTATTCAATCTACATAAAAAATATACTATATAATTTTATATTTCATCAGTCGATTTCCTATAGTGGTGTCAGTTGGACCTTTGGTCAATACTTAGTGTCATAGAATTTTGAAAGGTGCAGATCACATAACTGCCCTTCATAAGCTGTCATTTGTCACATGTCATCTCTACATTTCCGTCAGACCGGGAGCCCATTCTGTCTCTGGCTTCTATACAATATGTAGCTTCTCCATATAAATTTTAAAGTGTTTGTTTGTCTTAGTGTATTGTATTTTGTATTGTTATGTCCAAATTTTACATTTATGACATTCTACTATGTCGGATAGGCCACAATTGACGGAGTAAGTCTATAAACGTTTATCACATATAAAAATTTTTTCAACCATAAACTTGGAGTTTTTTATCCAAGTGAATTAATTTTCCTTTTTATAAAAAACGTTTCTTGGCTTATTTCAGATGCCCCTGAAGATGATCTATTGATCGAAAGTACTTGGGCAAGATAATTAAATCACCGTGTTCGATAGTTGTCTTGTATACCCTCAAAGTTAAAAAAAAAAATAACGCTACTGACTGTGGCATATAAAAATACTGTCAAATATTGTGTATGACCGATTGAGGCCATATGCGGAACAAATAGTTGGGGGATATCATTGTGGTTTCCGCAGCAGAAGTCCACAATAGATCAGATCTTCGTCTTGAGGCAAATCTTGGAAAAGACTAGTGAATTTAATATATACACACATCTTTTCATTGACTGTGAGAGTGCCTATGATAGCATCCATCGAGAGTTTCTGATCATGCACTGAAAGAGTTTAATATACCAACTCAACTCATTGATATAGTAAAAGAAACACTTAAAGTACAAAGCAAAATTCGAATTCAAAACGAACTAACAGATACAATACATGTGAGAACGGACCTACGACAGGGAGATGCCCTATCCTGTATTCTATTCAACATCACATAGAGAAAATAATTAGGGAGTCAAAAGTGAACACCAGAGGAACAATAATAATAAAAAGTGTACAAATATTGGCATTTACAGATGATGTTGATATCATATCTAGAAGCGAAAGAGAGATGATAGAAGCATTTAATGCGATAGAAAGAGCGGCACAACACAGTGGCCTAAACATTAACGAAATAAAAACCAAATACATGACGGCCGAAACAGGTCAAAGAAATCGACAGGCCAAAGAAACCTACAGAATCTGACAATACGAGACTATAACATCTAAAACGTGAAAAGTTTTACATATCTAGGTTCACTAGTTACCGCAGATAATAATATCAGTGAAGAAGTTAAGAGAAGAATACATACCGCTAATAAAACATATAATGGACTAATTAAATATCTAAGATCTAACAACATCACAAGAAAAATCAAATGCAAAATATACAAGACCCTGATAAAACCGGTCCTTGTATATGGATCAGAGATGTATACACTGTCGAAAAGCGATGAGAACCTATTAGGTACATTTGAACGAAAAATCCTTAGACACATATATAAGGGGGTAAAGGAAAATGACATATGGCGCAGAAGATATAATTTTGAACTATACACAGCATACAATGAACCCGAGATCGTAACATCCATAAAGATCGGACAACTGCGCTGGATGGGCCATGTTGAACGGATGTTGGAGACTGAAACGCCAAAACATATAATGAGGAAACACCAGTGGGGAGAAGGTCAAAGGGAAGACCCAAACTTAGATACATGGAACAAATGGAACAAGATCTGAAAACACTTAAATTACCAAGTGGAAAAAAAAGCAAAGAACAGAACAGAATGGCGGAAAATCCTAGAATAAGCCAGGACCCAGAAAGGGTTGTCGAGCTACTTGATGATGATGAAATGTGATTCCTTACAAGGTGTTTCGCCAATGTTACGCCATCCTTATTTATACTTAAATGAAGAAATGCGGTTTTTGATTTGTGTATACGTCCGACAAAATTTTTGCGGTCCCTAACAATAATAGAGGTAGTTTACCAAAAGAAATGGCCTTTAATCAAGTAATCAAGAAAATGAATTTTAATTTTATAGTTTAAGATCCCACTGCATAAATCAAACTCACAATTTTACATACAATTTTATACAGTTAAAATTAGGAGAGTAAATATTTTTAATTCAATTAATCGTAATAAGTTTTGAACAAAAATTCTATTTTGTTAAATTATTTTTTAAATAAAATATGCTGTTCATGACCTATATGCATGGTTTATTATATCAATTAAAAGCTAAGTAGTGCGCAACGCTATTGGTTTTAAGTATCAGTTATGTGGTTTCTAAAGCATGCGTTTATAGATGTTAATTTTACTTTATCTTTGATACCTCGCGTTTTTAACAGCTTTCAACCCTAATTTGCGATTATTTTTTCTCAGACAACCTTATATCATGAGCAGCGTATTTTATTTAAAATTCAATGAATGAAATAAAATTTTTGTTTAAAAATTAATTACTATTGATTTAATAGAAATTGAAATTAAATAAAATATTTGTGGCAACGTTCTGTGGTTAAAACTAATGTTTACATCATATTTTTGATGATTCGCCGTAAAGTTTTGAATTTATTCACGGTTTTATGGTTTTTATGATTATTCAAATGACAAATCATTAGCAAAAAAACGAAAAACAAATTTCAATTTCAATACATTGTGTTGAAATTGAAATGTTTTACAACGGCACCATTCTATTAAGTAATATTTGGTCCAATAGCCATAGTTTGTTCCAAATAACTTAACCCTACGCTACTTATCAGTAGTTATAACTCACCCTGTATAAATATTTTTTTAGTAAATTATTAGGGGGCGGTATTGAATCGATGTCCATTACAGAAGTTTTTGGGGAATTTAGAACAGGAAAGACACAATTGTCCCACACCCTATGCGTTACAGCACAGATGCCAGGTGCTAATGGATACCTTGGAGGGAAAGTTATGTTTATTGATACCGAACACACTTTGTATCCTTTTTTATACTTACTTAATATTATGTTTATTTCACTTAAAGCCATCGATAGAATGCGATAAAATAAATACTTGATATTTCAAGAGTTAATGTATTTATTTTAGCATTTCTCAAATTGTTTACGTTTTTGGCAAATTTTTTGTCTGGCATACCGAAAGTTATTCTTCATAAACAATTTGCATTATCTAAAACTTAAGATACAACCATAGATATCAAATTTTATCAACCATATTATTAAGAACAATTTTATACTCAATTCGCTTAGCTCGGGCATATTTTGACAGATTCATTGTCGGAAACCTACCACACAACAATTCCTACCTCTCAGTATTAATAGCTCAAGTATACTACTATTGCAGACTTCTTTCTTTGAAAAAAAAAAATTATTCTAAATAGTGGAAGCTGTATATTAAACCCATCAAATTTTGGGTAGTATATATATTAAAAAATATATTTTAGTTGTTATAATTTAACATAACAATTATTATATGGTGCAGATAAATAAATATTGATTGTCGGTAATTCGCAAAGTTCTATTCTATTTACTATTTGGTTTATTTACTATTAATATTGGCTATGGGTACGTGTGCTTGGTTGTATAGTAAGTTTCAGCCACTTTTAGTCTGTCAAAAAGTAACTATCTTAGCAAAAAAATCTTATATACTAA